TTTGACTTTAAATATAAATTCTAATAAAATATTATTTTTACATCCATTCTCTACACGTGAGAATTCTCATTCAATTTCAATTTTATTTTAAAAATATAAATTAATTATAAATTTCTTTAAACTTTAATATCTTGAGACCTACTTATTCGAATTAACTTTTTCTCGAGCCTCTTTTCATGATTAAAAATGAGCTATCCAACGAGACCCATATTGATATACTTTTCGTCACTCTATCAAAAATCAAATATTTGACCCAAAACATAAGAATTTAATATTTTATTTTTAGTCCCTCTACTTTAAAAATCATAAAATTGAATACAAAATTTTATTCTAAAATTTTCGGGGTGCTACAGCTAGATCCCCGTGTTTGTCTTTATGCACAAGCAGTTGAAGATCTTATAGATGATGTGCATGAGTTGTTACTTTTTGGAGTCCCCTATAGATATTTGGTCAGAGGAGAGATTGTCCCCCTTAGTCAGATCATATTATTGGGGATGATTTACAGATTGAATTGATATCACATGATTAGTTCAAATACTTAGATCTTAAGAAAAACCGTCCTTCTTAGGACAAGTTCAGATCTATGTTGTTATTTAGAGTTCATTACACACATTTAGTCAAGACAAAAGATAGACATCATTTGAGTATGAAATTCCAGTCAACTTCACCAAAATCGAGTTTTCTTAGCCGGGAAAAAATGATGAAGATCGTGATAAGAGTAAAAATAGAAATAGAATTTAGATATGATTTTAGAAGTATAGTTTGATTTAAATTATATTTAATTAGATTTGATGAGATCTGTTTTGATATTTTGATTTAAATTATAATTTCATTTCAACTCCTTAGTTTTGTTACTCGATAAACAGAGGAGCTTATTCAATGTAATAAACAACCAAAATATATGACTAAACATTAATTTTCCTCTTGCCATGAGTTCTTGTCTTCTTTGCACCCATTTCTCATCTAGTTCTTAATTGCACTAATTGTTCGTTAACAAACTATATGCTCATGCGTAAATTACCTTAATAAAATTGTAAACAAAGTTGTTTTTCACAAACAAGAAATTAACATCATGAAATTCTCGAAGCTAATATACAAAAGTAGGTCGGTAAGAAATCAAACAACAACTCAAGAAATTAAAATTTAGAAAAATAGTTTAACTACACGAATTCATAACTAAAAACTCATTCTCTTTGTGAAGATGAACCTCTTTTTTAAAACTCTTTCTTCAATACCTCAAATAGCTTACCATATAAGCAAATGGAGATCAAATTTAAACCTAAGCGGAGAAGTGAGAGCCGATTATACAATGAGTGATTCTAAAGCTAATAAGTTACAAGGTTCTATGAAAAGAACAAAACTTTCAATTTTGTGAAGCATTTTACTATACTGTTCATGTTATTCATCATTTTAGATCATCAGTATATACATAATACTTGACATAACTCAACAGTGTAATGAATAACGTGTGGTAACATGACCCCCCCAAACTTTTGGGCAATCTTTTTTTTTTTTATTATGTTTGTCTCAATTTTCAAAGTCATTACAGAATGCCAAATGAAATTTAAATATTGCATTCTTAATATCATTTTAAAGTGCTCACAACCTAATTTTTTACATTACTAATAGCACACGAAATAACCAACCATAGCAAATGTTATGGCTTGTTAAAATCAACTATTCCAAACTAGTATTCAAATATTTCAATAACATACGAACTTCAAAAATTCTCTGACGATCGCATGCTAGCCGAATCTACAAATCGTCTACATCATCTCAAAGTTCGTTTCGAAAACTAAATCATAGATATCAAATGATCCAAATAGATATAAAAAAAATAATTAAAAGTGCGTCCAACGTGCATCTTAAAAAGAGGCGTCATTTCTTTAAAAATTTTCAATTATTTCATTAATATTCATTATTTTTAATAAAATTTTTATCATTTTATTAAGAAATTTTATATGGAATATGACATAAATTTTTTTCAAAATTTTCCATTCGAAAAAAATCTTATGCCACGCCCATGTAAAATTTTGAAGGTAAATTTACATGAGTTTTGATTTTGATTTTTATTATTTTTTTAATGTAAATTTTCGAATGTAAAATTCCTCGCAACTTTTTTTGAAGTTTGATTGTACCCCCAACTCAAAATATATGTCCGCCACCGACTTTGTTTCAATTCTTAACCTGTCAAGTAATATCCAATCTTCCTTTCCAAACATATCATGGGAGTAGAGAATTCAATGACATTGACGCAGGAAAAACAATTTTCATCAAACTACAGAATGTTTGATTCAGAGAGATACCAGATTTTCTAAATCTGTAGAGAAACCAAAACCCTAAAAACATCATCAGAACCTATTCTCTGATCCAAATTATGAGCTTCAGACATGATGCAGTTTAAAGAGATTCTTCTATTGCTAAATACGAAAATCTATAACGCAAACCACGTTATTTGCAAAACAGGCAGCAATCTTATCGCCTTCTTTGTTCCAGCAAACTTCAAAGATTCCACCATTTCCACTGAAAGTTCTCACAATCTTAGCTTCCTTCACAGACAATATGTGCATGCATTTATCCAGTGATCAACTCGCCAAATACTCACCGTTTGGGCTAAAAGCAACCGAATAACCCGGTTCCCTACATTTAATTAGAAGCACTTCAGAATTTCAGAATCATTTCAAATTTATCAAATCATAGAAAATAANGGAGTTCCACTTAACCACAGGAAAGAGAGAACTCATAGGGCACGAACGGTCTACGACTAGCAATTCATTTTCTTTAAACCTAACTAAAATAACATGGGTTCGGACAATTTTTCCCCTTTCGCCGAAGTAAATTAAATTAACATTTTTTAGTTAAAAAATATATAATTTATACAAACATATAAGAAAATAAAAAGTGCTTATCCTATTTTTTTATGCTTAGACAAACGTACTATATAATAACCACGATTAAGTCATTAGAATGATATGCATGGACATTGTAGTTCTAGCTCTATAAAGATATCTCCCAACCATTCTCCAGTCATAGAGTCATTAGGAGGCTTCAATAAAACTCCATGTTTCATCGATGGAACAAAATTACCTAGGATCCTTACCTGTGGCCATTTAAGCTGTGGAGAAGATGCCCAGCTTCCACGCTCCACAGCTTTATGGTCGAGTCAAAAGAGGCACTACAAAGCAAAGAAAAAAAAGAAGCGAGATAAGTAGGAATATTATAGACACTGAACTATTGTATTTTTTCCCTGAAGAGTAAATAGACAGAGGAAATTTTTTCCATAGAATATTTTTTGAATGATAAAATGAACTGTGTCCACTACTTTTTGGTTAATAATACCCCCAAAAAAAAAAAAAATGAAAAAAATGACAAATGTGTGTGCTTATCTCTTCAAAAGTGATCTCAAATTCTCCTTCTTCCTTTTTGCATTAATTTTGAACCGTCTAGGCATTCTTGTCAAACTAGGCAAAATTGATGAATCTTCCTTTTTGAACAAATTTCAAAACATCTAGGCATTCTTGTCAAACTAGGCAAAGTTGACATAGAGTTTCCAGTCCATTTAGCTACTCAAGTCTTTCTCAGAAACTTTGCCCAGATTGCCTAGAGGATATTTTGATACAAAAGGCATTATAGTCATTTTGCATGACTAATGGCCATACTTAATAAAGATTCTGGTGGGAGACAAAACTAATTTTAGCCAAAAGAAAAATTGACTAGTTACAACAAATTTCCCGTAGATATATTGCCTTGTCAATTGAATATTTAATGCTAATTTATCCTTCTGGGATCCCCTAGGTCAATTCTATTCTCATGTCTTTTAAGCTTGGCTGCAAAATATTTTTACTGGAAATCCAGGATATACAATTTTCCAGTGCGACTGTACAACTTAATAGCACNGGGGGGGGGGTGGGGGGGGGGGGAAGGAGAGAATAGGTAATAATCTAAGAGCCATATATTTATGATTGCGATTAATTTATGTGTCAGTAAACTCCTGACAAGGGTTGTAAATTTGTAACAACTCTACCAACCTTAATTGGAAATGTTGATAACCTACCCCCTCGATAATTTAAGAACAATCTTCACCAATAAAAGGGCAAAACAATTCATCATACTACCATTCAACCACCAGAGTCCAGACTTATACCTTGCAAGCACCAATTCCTTATTTGGGTTGTTGGTACCATATCCTGTAGGACTCCATTTAACAGTGTATATCTCCTATAAATATTATGTTCATGTCAGAAACTCAGGTGTCTTAATTGAATAAAGAATATAACAATAAACATAAAAAGCTTCAAGCCATACTTTGGCATGCTCCTTCAGATCAAGAATGCAGGTGTCCTGTCTCATGCTCCATATCTGCATTTTAATCAATGAGTCGACAGCCAATTATATACAAGTTCGACTTCACTTCTAGAGCAGGAAAAGGACTAATGTCGCCAACTACACAGTTTTCCCAGTCCACTTCATGGGAAGGCTGCAGGACTATAAATCAAGAAATTAATTGCATAATGCAGGCTGGTCGATTAAACCACCTCATCTAAAGCTTAAGCTGTAAGACGTGGACAATTTTATTCATTTAAATTTAGTTTTCAACATGCTCCAGGCTGGATTCAGTTTTCACCGAAGTCCAGACATGTTAAATGGGTGGCGGTGAGACTCAAACACAAGACCTTAGTTTCCTCCATTACCATCTTAAATTACCTCATCTAAAGTTTAAACTTGTTAGAGACAAGGACTCATTAATTATGGGTTCAGATAGATAAATTACAAGCAGCAGTGACTGATTACTAAAAATTAGAAGTCATAAAGAAAATGCTCTTACCTTTGCAGTAGAATCGTCAGAGCATGAAGCCAGCAGGGAGCCAGCGTGATCCCACTTGATAGCATTAACTTCACCCTGAAGTAACATAGCATATTTAGAAATTAATTAACAGCATAAAAGGAAAGAATTTTAGTGCAATAACATCTTCCTTCTCTAGACAGAAAGCTCCACATTATTCTGCACTCAATTTTCTTAACATTGATTAGCCAGCACAAAGTGTACTAACTATACTCATGATAAATTGCTGCATGGGTACATGAGATGACGCAGTTCAATCGACCTCGTGGATTATCCAAATTAAATTGGTGTCTTGGGATCAAACTCCCTATTCATTCCCAGCCATGGGAAGAATAACACATGCTGTGCAGTTAATACATAACATTAACAAATTCCCATGCGGCACTATTAATTAGACAAAGGAATTCCTAAAAAATTATAGGTTCAAAATGTACATTATTGCAAAATAATCATTGACATTGACAAAATAGTTATGCAGGAACATTTTCAAGAGTATGTAACTGTAGAAATAAACCTGATGCCCTGAGAATGTTTTGATTGGTCGGTTCTCTCCCACTTTGCAAACATGTATCATGCTATCAGTGGAGCAAGTTGCAAATGAAACATTGTTTCTCCAATCAACATCTAGAGTAGGAGCTGCAATAACATTTCATAACAAATCTAAGTTTAAAAGAAACATCATAGATTGAGGTGATTGCTACCATTTACTAAAAAACACAGAGATAAATGTATTGTCCAAAATATAAACAACCAAGAGTATAAATGAGAGAGAAGGGACTGTTAAGGACCTGAGTGAAACTCAAATTGTTGTTTCCATTCACCCGTCTTAACGTCCCACACAATAGCAGTTTTATCCACACTCCCACTAAGAAGATAATCTCCTTTCTTGTTCCACTTTAAAGAGAAAATCGGTCCTTTATGTTTATTTAAGGTACTGATCAAATCCCCTGGATGAAACATACAGTTATGAACAAATCACGAGCATTAACAGCATATATTGGCCATATATAACGCAAATGCTAAAATATAGACATAATTAAAACGTGTAACTATATAGTTTCTAAACAAGTGGGTAGCAGACTGTTGATCTGGCTTTCTCAAGCACTAGTGGAAATATATAGCAATAAATTATCAACAGAAGCTACACCACTTCTCCACCCAAAGAAGCGCTCATTTTTGTGTACATGCACTTCAAGCGTGTGGGCAATCTCTATTAGGAAGAATTAGGGCATAAATTATTTCAACTCAAGATATCAACAAGATCAACATCTTTAAACTGAGTTCATCAAAAAGGAAAAGAAAACCAAGATAATGTAAATTAAAATCATTTCATAAGTTAAACACATTTCTATTTAATACCTCATGAACATTTTTGTAATACCATTTTACAGAAATTCATTGCATTCCATACGGAAAGGAAGAGAATCAGAAGAGGGTGTGGTGCCACCCCATACTGAAAGGGTCAAACAACTCAATCTCTATAAACTAGTATAACTCATCAACAAAATCCACAAAAACAAATAAAAAGAATTAGGCAGTGATCCTTGGCTGCAAACGTATAATTATTCTAGAAAAGAACTTTTCAGTCTGGTCTGTCACGTTCCAGATCAGCAAGGGGTGATGATCCTAGACAAACTCACAGGAAAAACCCCAGCACCACTGTTAAGCCTGACTTGATTAAGAGTGATGTTCATTGGTCCACCTGTTGTCCATCCCTTTCGAAAATAGTGTGTCATCATTGTTAGTCAAAGAATATTCTTTAGAGAGGAGAAAACACGCAAAGATTAAGGGCAGACAGCATTTTCAAGTGTATACTTTTCTCTTATAGAATATATTTGGTAGAGCAAATAATGGATATTGTTCCAGGATGTATGCAAATTGCTGAACAGAATGAAGTTAAATATTTACTTCTCCTATTAGTTTCTATAATGACCGCCTACAGCTACCCAGAAAAAATTGAATTCTAGCTTATTTTGCTTATGGTGGCTTCATAATTGGAATCAGATCTCACAAGAAGAAAGTAAGACAATTCTGAGTGGAGCATGTAATGCAAGACCAGGCTCCTAATGAGGCGATTGAGACATGAACCATTGCAAAAAGTGCGCACGGTTCTTCAAGCAATTGGGGGGGGGGGGGGGGGT